AAGGATAATGGAGCAACAAGGAAAGATGAAATAAAAAGCAAAAAGGATAATGCAATATTAATTTTTTCTTATTATTATTATTACTACTACTTTCAGTCCTAGTTACTCGGTGCTAATTTATAAAATAAATTATACTACAAAATGAATTTTATATTTAAGACCGAAAGAAATAATTTGAATGGTAGAGCCACCAACACAGCAAACTACTAAAAGGTAAGAAAATAATCATCATCAGAGCCTGACATCGCGCTTCTTCACTATTCATTCTCGCAGGTAGAACTGGACACCTGAGTTAACTAGCAGAAAAATTATTGTAATTTAGAATCTTCTTTTTCTAGATATTATGAAGGAATTACTAGTACTTCAAAGGCAAATAAACGAGGACGAATTGAAGAAAATGATCATGGCAAGTGAAACGAAGAGCTATGTATAACTTTTAAAGATTGAACGCATTTCAGCCATTTGTATGTCATAGGGGGCCGGCAAGGATAATGGGATACAAGTGAACCGAATAACAGAATATTGACCTCTAGGATGCGTTTGGTGTGAAGGATTTGGAGGGAGAAGGGAAGAGAAGGGATTTTTATCATTTTTGACAACGCACAGATTTTAGGAGGGCCTCCCCTTCTCAGCCTCCCTTCCAAAATTGGGAAGATTTAAAGGGAAAGAGCAATATTTTACTATGTTGTGACAGCTATGCCCGTATTTATTTTTAATATCCATATACTACCTTAAATTCTTTTCTTCTTATCTCCATATGTTGCTCTCTCTTTTGTATGACCAAATATTTCATTCAAAGATATAGTATAAGTTGTGGCTGAACATTACTTCAGCCTTCTTTTCAATAATACTTCATATTCTACAGTATATTAGAATTTTAGTATAAGTATTGTTCAATATATTAAATGTTATTTACAATTCTATTTTATTAAACATTCTATAAAATTTGCAAAAATAATCTTAAATAAAAAAGTGCAAATTGTCCATGTCAAAATATTTTTCCCTCCCCTCCCCTCTCCTCTTTTTTTATAAATCCAAACAAAATAATATTAAAATCTTTCCACTCTCCTCTCTTTCCCTTTCCTCCATTAAAATCCCTCCTCTATCCTTCTTCTTATTAAGCCAGACAGACCCTTATAGATCCACGTATGTATCATATGATTAAATTGCTGAGATCTAGACTCAGCAAATATGGCCCATGAAAAATGCATGTGGAAAATAAAAGGACCACGGGATACCTCGTGTCTTTTTTTTATGCATTTTTGGAAACAAAATAACCACGTATATATATTATCAAAATAAAAAAACCACGATATATATTTGGAAATTAATTATTGAAGGACCTCAAGTTAGGTGCACACGTACAGATTTTTTCAAAGAAATTTAGATGGTGGAATCAGGAAAAGTACATCCAAAATAATAACCACACGGCCAGTTTCTGCTATTTTAATGATCTTGTCTGTATTTATTATGTTGCGGGTAGCCGTTAGGCCCCGCTGTGGGGGCACAACCAAAATTATTATACTACCTCCGGTCTTAATTATAAGACCCAATTGATTTATTTGAGGAGATTAAGGAAATAAGTTAAGTTAGTTATTTGTAATAAATAAGTGTTGTTATTCCTAAAATATCCTTGCTAATTAAGTATATTGGCTAGAACTATCATTATTAGAAGGATTATCTTAAAAAAATGCATAAATATAGGAGACAAAATGGATTGGGGTCTTATAATTAGAACCAAATAAAAAGTCAAACGGGATCTTATAATAAGGACCGGAGGTAGTATTTATTAATATTTGCTGGCCTGACACTTAGAGCCGGGAAAACGGGCCAAGCCCGTCGGGCCGGCCCGTTTAAGCCCGTTTAAGTCGAGGGCCGGACTTGTATTTTGGAGCCTTGAAAGGGAAGTCGGGCTTAAAAGGACTAGCCCTGTAGGGCCGAAAAATACAGGGCCGGCCCGTTTAGGCCCGCCAAATTATTTTTTTTTTAATTTCTGTCTTTTTTTCTTAATTTAAAAAAGAAAACCCTAACATTTTAAACATAGCATACTCTTAGTTTTACTTATCTTGGCAGCTCACATAGATAGCATTCACAAAAAGAAAAAAAGAATCACTATAGTTGTGGGAAAAATAACCAAAAAAACATGAAAATTGCAAAATTTAAAACTAGGTATATTCATAAAAATATATTGTTATTTATAAGTTGTCAAAACCTATTAAAATACTATATCTATAATTTTTACAATTTTTATTTATCATTCTCCCATATTTTTTATACTTGAAATATAATTGATCAAAAAATCTTTTAAACTAAAATAAAGATCTATATCATTTTTATAGTAGAAACAAATTTAGAACTAAGAATGATGGACTCTTTTCTTTTTTGTCGGTATGATAAATGATTATTCTTTATGTATACTATGTTTGTTAGTTAAACTTTTTTGTTAATTATTTATAATCAAACTAGATCATCCGCATTGTAATTATCTACTGAACTTAATGCTTATTTAGTTGTTTATGTTTGTCCTCTATTTAGTTTGTTTATTCAATAGACTTTATTATACTGTAATATATGTTTAGACATGATAATGTTTATATTTGTGACTTAATTTTATTTATATTTATACCTTTTATTAGTAATTTTTATTGTTTCATTTTTATTATTTTGATAAAATATACAAAAAAATAAAAAAAATTATTTTAATTAAAAAGACCAAAAGCCCGCGGGCTAGCCCGAGCCCGTCATCTCACGGGCCGGGCTTGAAAAAATGACTTATTTTTGAAACTCGGGCTTAAACGGGCCGGCCCGTTTAAGCCCGAGCCCGTCACGGGCCGGCCCGTTTTCCCAGTACTACTGACACTTGCCTGCGCGTGTCGCCGTTCCATCCGCTCATCAATTGTCCTCGATCACATCCAACGCGATGCACCCAAAAGTCAAATTGTCAATTGATTCTCCATCTTTTGTTTTGGTTGAAAATTTACATAAAACAAATTAAAAATTACAATATTTTAATTTAAACATCTAAAATATCAAAATCTTAATAGAAGATATGGTATTTGACATGGTATTTTAAAAATACAATCAAACGACTAAAATGTTTTTATATCAGATTTTTTTGAAAAAAAAATATCAAGCTTGTCATTATCAGTATATTTTTTTTCACTTGTTATTTAACACTTCTGATTATCCATTCATAGCTTGTTAATAAACTTTTTGAGATAAGGACATTTTTATCATTTAATTATATTTGCAAAATATCATATCAGACATTACTTCCTCTCCTAAAATTTTTAATCTCTTACATGCCTGAATTAGAATGTTGTGATTTCCTATAAGGGTGAGCATTCGATCTTTTGGTTCGGTTATTGGTGATAACCGAATTAACCGAATAACCAAATAAAGCAAATTATAAATACCGAACCGAAATCGAATTAACCGAAATATTTTGATTAAGTTAACCAATTAATCGAAATATATAAATATGAAAAGTGATTTTAAATTAAAAATAATAATAAAATATAATTACAATCATTAATTAATAAATATTTCATCATTTAATATGATTTATTATAACCATATTTGTTGAATATAAGTATATTTAAAGAGTTCACATAAACCCACATATATATTTATTATAATAATATTTATTAAATATAAATATATAATATATTTAATTCGGTTTTTCGGTCATAACTGAATTTTTTTTTTTTACTAACCGAACCGAACACCGAAACCGAATATGTAATTGAAAACCAAAATAATCGAATCGAAAAACTGAAATTGAATTCGGTTCAGTTTGGCTTCGGTCACGGTTTGGTTTTGCTCACTCCTAATTTCTTGCAGTATTTCAATTTAGGCACCTAAAATATCAAAATCTTAGTAGAAGATATGGTACCTGGTTTGGTATTTTTGGAAATACAATCAAATGACTAAGATGTTCTTATATCAATTTTAAAAAAAATTATCAAACTTGTTATTTCCAATACATTTTTTGTTATTGGTTATTCAACAGTTATCATTACCAATTCACAACTTATTAATAAATAACTTGTTATTGTCAATAATTTTTTATCATTTGTTGTTTAACACTTGTCATTACCCGTTCAAAACTTATTAATAAGCTTTTTGAGATAAGGGTATTTTTAATATTTAACTGTATTTGCAAAATATCAAATCAGACATTACTTCATCTCCTGAAATTTTAACCTCTTACATGCCTATATGAGATTGCTTTAAGACTAAACACCTTCGGAGCTAAGCATGTCATGGGTTTCGCCAAAAAATGTGTTAAGCTCAAGGTTCTTGTCCACGTATCAACAGGTTAATTAGCATAAATATCTTCACCAACCTTGTTTCTTTTATTAAATCATATTTTGCTTTTACGGGTATTTCTTGGAGTTTGTACGGCTTGAATGTTGGTTTTTACCCAACTCAACTAGATATATCACTAACTATCTCAGCTACTGTTTTTTAAAGGGTTGATACAACAAGATAAAGGGTGGTTGGACCTCTCAGTCAAGTGACAAGTCCACGTACTCTAACAAATGACAACTTCAGTAGACCAAATCACAACTTAGTTGAGGGGCATTTAAGACATTTCACTAAGATTTCATGTTTATAATATGGGACCGGGTTTTTATTTACTATTTTTCAAATTGAGGATCCCAAATCATAATTTCACATATTGGGGGTCCCAAGCCGCAAACTTCTAATATTTCTCTCGTTATTTTTCTCTCATTCTTTCCCTTTCCAAACGAGGGCTAAAAGATGAGTGGTACACAAACGAAATTTTAAACCAGGTAAAGGCCCAATTTGTTTTTTGGTCAAACACACACGCACGAACAAAAATGTTTGAACCAATCAACACTGCGCTCTTTGTTTGTTTTATATCAAATTGAAACATGAATTAAATCAATCATTCTAATATCATAAATCAATGATGAAAATAAGTAACATAAAAGTGTTATTACAAATTACTCCTCCGGCCAACTATGTATATCATGCGGATTTTTTTGTTCTGGCCAACTAGGTCATGCAGATTTGACGTTGCAATGAATGTTAACACGATGGGGGCTCTGAATGTCTTAAACTTCGCAAAGAGGTGTCAAAAGATACAAGTTCTTCTCCACGTATCAACTGGTAAACATGCATGTTGCTTCTTTTTATTCTAAATATAAGAACTACATAACAATTTTAGAAGGATGAAGAAAATTAATTAAGTTAATTTTATTTAAAATATATATTAATTTTTCTAAGATATCCTTATTTAATAGTATACATTAAATATTGCTTAAAAACTTCTTTTAATGTGTGCAATTAATTGGCATAATTAAGAAAAAAAATATAAATTTGGAAAAAAAAAAGTTCTCTTTAACCAAAGAAGCTAAACTATCTTGTTTAGGTACAAAACAACCTTTCAACCTACTATTTCCCACATTTAGAATGGGGTGAAGTAATTAATGATCTCTCTGGTACATGACTTCTTTACTTAGGATCAGAGGCAACAGATCAGCCTTATGGCTGTTTAGAACTATGCTTTGTTTAGTTTGGTTGGCTATTTAATTAATTTGAAGCAAACAGTCAATAAACTAAATTTTAATTAATTTATGACAATCGCATTTCAGTTTTTCTAGCCCTACCATCGGCCTCATGCCATCTTCATGGCCCAGCAGCTAAAACCTCGAATGTTCAGATGGACGCAGACGTGAGCCAAATTTGATTTGCACCCAAACATCTTCATGGCCCAGAGGTGTTTGGTAAACCCAAAAATACTCTTAAAAATACTTTCACACAACTCGAGACAAAACTTTTCTCATAGATTTACTTCTTGTAAAATTATTTTTAAAACCATGATTTGGTTTGCACCCAAACACTTCTTTAGACTTGTGTGGATTATAATTAGACATACTTTTTGGTCTTGCATGGCTTCTGAAAAATTAGTCATTTTGTGGCTTGCTGTAAAATTATATACTATATACACATATATTTTGATATTGAGGATTATGACTCAAATTATTTATCTTAGCATATGTGTGTGGGGAGGCTAAGGACAAAGAAGTAATACGGGAAGAACCCTTTAAGATGGGACGTGCCTTGAAGAAGGTTGCAGAATTAGACATTCACGCAGAACTGGGTTTTATGAAGAAAAGAACGCAACAACTCGAAGAGGAGAATGCTGATGCAAAGGCCATCTCAGCCGCAATGAAAGATTATGGACTTAAGAGGTTCTTTAATTATCAATTTAAAACCCCATATCTGTCTTTTTCATCCTTTCTAATCAATAAAATGAACTAGGAATGTAAATTTTAATTAAAACGATACAGGGCAAACTTATATGGATGGCCAAACACTTACGTATTGACAAAAGCACTGGGAGAAATGTTTCTGTCACATCTCAAGGATCAGATTCCTCTAGTCATCATACGCCCAACCATGGTGACCAGTACCTACAAAGAACCCTTTCCTGGCTGGATTGAAGGTTTCAGGTATTAATCACTGTGCATACACACTGGACATTCTATTACTAATTATATGTACATTATCTTCACAATATATAGAGATAATAAAAGTGAGGAAGAAGTTGGAAAATTATATATTTTATGATTACAGAACAGTGGATGCTGTGATCGGTGGCTATGCCAAAGGAAAATTAACTTGCTTTCCGGGTAATCCTAAGACAATTTTAGACTTGGTAAGTATTTATATGTGTTCCTTTCTTTTTTAGATATCCATGTTATAGGACAATCTATGCATGGTTGATTTATACTATATTTCAGCATAATATATATTATTTAAAATTTGAACTCTCGGCCAGTGATTCATGATGATGATGATGATGATGATGCAGATACCTGCGGACATAGTAGTAAACTGTATGATGGCAGCAATGGCGAATCATTCGAATGAAGCTTCAGAGAATTACACATTCCATGTTTGTTCTTCGTCAAGAAATCCTTTTAGACTTTCATCTCTTCCCAATATCTTGTCTCTTTATTTCAAGAATAACCCACTGACCACCAAAAATGGAAAGCCTTTGATGATTCGATCCAAGGCAACATTAGCAAGCAACGCTCATTTCCATATGTATTTGCTGATTCAATATCTGCTACCACTCACGGTATATCATCTTCTACGTACACTTCAAGCTGTGCAAAACAATCTCTCTCTCTCTCTCTCTCTCTCTCTCTATATATATATATATATATATCCCACCCTAGCCACCTCATATCTATATGTAGATATTAAACTGCATGTACTAATGTTTTTGCACGTTTTGGTGGATTTCAAAAGGGATTAAATTTAGCGAACAAAGTGCTTTGCGGAGGCTTCCAAGATGCTTACAGTGGCAACCACAGGAAAATCAAAATGCTGACACGAATGGCTGAGCTTTACAAACCTTACGTGTTTTCCAAGGCTACGTATGTTTTTTTTTTAATTTAATTATTCTCTTTTAATTGATTATTTCGTAGTTGTTTATGTTAATGCGTAAACTTAGCTTAACTTGGAATAATTAATGTTATGAAAATAAAAACAATAGCTTCGACGACAGCAACACAGAAAAGCTAAGGAAGGCAACAAAGTGTGGGAGGGCGTTGGAAGTATTGATTGGAGTGAGTACATGATGGACGTGCACATTCCTGGCCTCGTCAAGTATGCAATTAAGTAACCCTCCAAGTGATTTCCCCAAATTGATTAAATCAATAAAATAAATTGTACTAGACCAAGGTGTTTGTTTTGGGGGAAGATTGGAAAAAAAAAAAAAAAGTGCAATTGCATGCATGAATAATTATCAATAATTAGTTAGCTCTAGTAATTTGAAAAATAAGTAAATAAATTACAAAGCGCGGCATGTGGAGGATGTATTTTGGCCTCGTCCACTGTGTATTGAATTCATCTCCTATGGATAGCTTTAATATTAAATGAAACCAACCATATACGGAGTATTTATTAATGTGTGCTGATCGGAAAGCTCGATGATTTGCATATGTGTGAATTTGAACTTTAAGATCACGCGCATGAAAAATAATTATGCAATATAATCATCACATCGATATTTTGGAGAGTTTTCATTTCTGAAGTCATTGAGATGATCATGGACGACTAGACTACTACTGCACAAGGAGACACTATGACTCAGATGATCCTGACCCAAAAGGCATCATGAATCTATCCCCTAGCCATGAGCCTATCTATAAAGACTAGGAGATATCATCATCGGGAAATCTCTTTTTGGATGCTCTGAATATTATAGTTTACTTTTTCCGAACTTTTCGTACATTTGGTGGGGGTAAATTTATAATCAAAGGAGTATATTCTGACTATAATGACCCGTACCGCATGAATAAAAATATTTTTTTTAAAAAAATATATTTATTATAAATAATTAAATTAACTAATATTAACAAATTAATAATCAATTTTTATATTAAAAACCGAAAATAGTAATATCTATTTAATTTTAATTTTAAGGGCTGAAAGAAAATTTCTGCTCGTTTTTCCTTTGCACACATTGCGTTACATCATCGCAGTTAATATTTGACAATGACAACGTCTATTTTGTTGTTTTATTATCTCTATTCTTTGTCTTTAAGAAAAAGTGTTTAATACTCCTCCGATCCTTATTATAAGACCCAATTTGACTTTTTATTTGGTCCTAATTATAAGACCCAATCCATTTTCTCTCTTATATTTATGCATTTTTTTCCAAGATAATCCTTCTAATAATGATAGTTTTAGCCAATATACTTAATTAGCAAGGATATTTTAGGAATGACAACACTTATTTATTATAAATAACCAACTTAACTTACTTCCTTAATCTCCTCAAATAAGTCAATTGGGTCTTATAATTAGGACCGGAGGAGTATTTTTTTTGGATGCAAAATTTGTTTAACAGCCTCTTAGTTAGGTCCACGTATATATCATTTGATTAAATTTCTGAGAGCTAAAATCAGCAAATATGGCCCATGAAAATTGCATCTGGAAAACGAAAGGACCACGGGGTATTTAGTTTTTTTTTTTCCTACACGTTTTTGGAAACAAAATAACCATGTATATATATTATCAAAATAAAAAACACGTATATATTTGGAAATTAATTATGTCTCAATAAAAAAAATTATAAAATAAATCTTAGAGATTGTCTTTCTTCATTTTAAAATTTATCGCTATTTAAATTGTTATTAAAAAATTTTAATAATTATTTTTTTAAGACTTAACTGTAATTTTCCCAGTTAATTATTGAAGGGACCTCGAATTAGGTATACACACACAGATTTGTTTCAAAGAAATTTAGATGGTTTCAAATTAAATTTATTTTATTTATCGTGTAATGATCCCATGTCGCTTATGCTAATCGTGCGTTCAGGGGGTTTAAGTGCCTGTTTGGGTCAGCGTTTGCTGACCCAAACGTGGCTTATAATCACTTATAAGCTCGGTGGAAAATTTGGCCCGTTTGGCAGAGCAATATGGCAATTGGGCTTATCATTTTTTAAACCCCCTGAACGCACGATTGGCATAAGCTCGTGCCTAGCAGCTTCTGGCCCCTGGGAATCAGCTTATGACCATTCTGACACCACCTTTATTTTTCTCTTCACATCTGCCTTCCTTTATTCCCTAACCCTCGTGACTCTCTTTTCCTTTCCCGAGCTCCCAGCTTGCTTCCGTCTCTGCTCGGCTCGAGAACGTCCGTCGGTGGTTGCGTCTGAGAAGGTCGTCGCTGGTGACCGTGAGCTCCGTCCGGTCATCATCGCGAGGTCAGCTATTGGGGTGAGGTGTCCGTGGCTTGGTGGATGCCGTTCGTTCATCACAAGTCGGAGCTGCTCTCACCGTCTGCAACCGACGTCGCCGGCGTCTGCCTCTGCGTTTGAGCCGTGCGTGGAGATCTTGGCTTCCCAGTGCAATATACCGTTGGATCTACCTCTGGCAGCTTGGATCTACTGCAGGTTGGCCGGTTATGTCGCTTTTCCGGTTTGATCCCCGATCGTCCTTGAATTTGTTGTCCTCCCTGAATTTCCTGTCGTCCTTGAATTTCCTATCTTGCTTGAATTCGGATTTGTTCATGATTGCTGCATGTTGAGGACCGACTGGTTGTGACACCGAAACAGGGACCGAATGTAGCATGAAATTTCTACTTGCATATCGATTTTCTTCCTCTGTTTTCCAAGGCTGAAACAATGATTAATGGTTCAAGAATTTCCTATCGTGTGTTAGTTCGGATTTGTTAATGATTGCTGCATGTTGAGGACCGACTGGTTGTGACACCGAAACAGGGACCGAATGTAGCATAAAATTTCTACTTGCATATCGATTTTCTTCCTCTGTTTTCAAAGGCTGAAACAACGATTAATGGTTCAAGGAAACGGCGTATAGGATTCTCTTGATTTTTATGGTTATAGGATTCAAGAAATTGTTGCGTATATACGTTGTTAATGGCGAGATATGGACCTCTGGAATTGTAATTTTCAGAATTACAATGGTTGTTGTTTTGCATGTCCTTAGCTTCGGTCTCTTGATTTTTATGGTTATAGGATTTGATCTCTATGAGGGTAAGGTAGAAGAGAATGAGGTGGTAACATGGTGTATATATGTGTATATATGTGTGTCCGGATGGTTCATTTGATAAAGCTAATTAACGGAGTTGATAGAGCAAAGTAATAAGACATTAATTTGTACTATACAAAGAAATTAAGGACTATGTGGATAATTACTTAAAAATCATTTGGAATTAATTTGGGGAAGTCTCAATCAAAATAAATTTAATGTTGTTCTTTCTCCTGTTATATTCTCTTACTTCTCTCTAATATGATATTTATTTAACTAATTTAATTATATTAAAAAAGTTAGGTAAATTAGTTAATTATGATAAATATAACTTATTTTTGTAAATAATCTTGTTCATCATTCTTAATTTGGTTTTTATTTTACTCCTACATAGTTAAATTAGGATAAAAATTAATCAATGTAATGTAGTTTAGGTTCAATTTATATGATATATTGAAAATTTAATTCCAAAATGTTCACAATCAATTACCACTGGAAAATAGTGGACATTGACATTGTGATTATATATTTATAATTTTAAAAAATATTGAATAAGAAAACTAAACAGCTTATGCAATTAAAATGTGTTACTTGGTGATATATGTTTGTTTGGTTACAATGTATGTGTTATATAATACGGCTTTCATTATTACATATTTAGGGCTTTGGTTGATTTAGTTGCTCTTATCTCGATCAAAGGGCGCAGAGAAATGGATAATGACAAGGGAAAAGCGACATGGAATCATTACACGACAAAAATTCTAATCGATGTTTGTGCCGAGCAAATAGTGCACAAAGAAAGACAAGGAACATCGTTTACAAGACCTGGTTGGTTGAAAATTGAAAAGAATTTTCGGGAAAGGAGCGGGAAAATGTATGACAGGAAGCAACTGAAGAACAGATTCGATGTATTGAGAAAAGATTGGAAGTTGTGGGAAAAACTGATGTCTGGGGAGACTGGTGTAACATCCTAAATACTAAAAAAAAAAAATAAATTAAATTATTATTAAAATAAAATAAAATAATTAAATAATGTAAAATAATATTTTATTATTATTAAATAATAATATTTTATTAATATATAAAAAAAAATTTGACCCAGCTTTCCACCGACTTTCGGTGGAAAAGCTGGGGGTTTATTAAGGGGGAGAAGAAATATGGGGGAAGACCATTGACAAAAAGCATTTGACACGGGTAATTAAAGAGGGAGGAGGAAAAATGGGGAGGAATAATAAATGAAGGAAGAAAATTGAGGAAGGATGGTTGGTATGTTAAAGGATAAATAGAAGAGTGTTTGAGTGTTGTGTAGAGTAGAGAGGAGAGGTGAGAGACGCAGGAAGAAAAACAAAGAACAAGAGAGTGAGTGAAGATTTCTGCAAGGACGTGCTAGCATTTGGAGATCATTTAGGTACATAAAAATACTTCTTTCTATTAGATTTATTTTATGAATATTTTCTATATATTTAGAACTTTATATTAGTAGTATTACTACAATGTTTAGAGAAAATTTTGTGAGCTAGGTACAGAGTAAGTAGTGATTTTTGACAATTTATGACTGTAGAAATTTAAAGATAAATAAGTAGTTAATTTTAATCGGTTTAGATTTGTCTATTTATTATCTATGGTATTTAAAATTAAATTTATTTGTTGAAAAATCTGTCATTTATGATATATATCATATTTATACCGATTAAAAATAGGTTAAATAATTTATTTGGATTGTTCGATATATTATTGAAATTTTAATCGGTTTATATTTGTTTATTGATTGTTTTGAGAATTTTAAACTAAGATTTTAGTTGAAAAATGTATTATTCAAGATATATAGAATGTTTTTACCGATTAAATTTAAGTTAAATAACTTATTTGGGTTACTTAATATATTATTGATATTTTAATCGGTTTAAAATGTAAAATAGGTTAAGACTATATTATTAGAAAAATTTTGAAACTGGAAACTTAAGTTATAAATTGAGATTCTTACAATATTAGATAAAAACAATATTTTATAAATATTTATAATTTAAATGAGTTATTTGGTAGGGGAAACAAAAATGTTATTTGAAGTAAGAATTTTTGG